CCATTCTCCTGCATCACCTCTCTACTAGTCTCCCAGAAAAGTCCCAAAGTCCCATCATCAGTATATACACACACTGCAATGTCTTCCAACTTAAAAAAATACTCTTGGCTAACTGCTCCATTCTCAAGAGTCATCTATACTAGTCTCTGGATTTCCGTCCATTCCATTGTCTCTTAAATGCTCCACCCCACCAAAAGTGCTCTTACCAAGGAACCAATGACTTTCAACTTGCCAAATCCTACAGTCAATTCTCAGTCCTCATCTAGCTCAATACACCAGCAACATAACACAATTAGTCACATTCACCTTCTTGAAACACTTCATTAAGCTTCTGTGACTGGTGCCCGGATGGCTCAGTCACTTAAGTGGCTGCCTTGGGCTCAGGGTGTGATCTCAAGGTCCTGGGTTCAAGCCCCACATCTGGCCACCTGCTCAGCAGGGAGTCTGCTTCTCCCTCTGCTCCTCCCTCTGCTCCTCCCTGTACTCATTTTCATGTGCATGCATGCTCTCGCTCTCTCTCACTCTCTTTTTCAAATAGACTAAAAATTTTTTTTTAAAAAAGCTTCTACTGACAATTCTTGATTCTCTACCTACATCAGTAAGAATTCCTTCTCAGTACCTTTTGCTGATCCTTCCTTATTTCCCCAATCTCTAAACATCGTAGCATTCTAAATTTAGGTCGCAGACCTTTTCATTCTTTATTCTTTACATTCACTTCTTTGAAAATCATAGTCTGATGGCTTTAAAATAATCTATAGCAGCAATATATAAGCAGCCTAAGCCACTCCTTTGAACTTCAAACTTGTATATCCAATTACTTACTAAAGAGTTAATTTCCAAAAGGCATATCATGGTCAATATGTATAAAAAGTTCCCCAAACTGCTCCTTCTATAAATTACAGTTCTCAGCAAGAGCACCTTCATCTTTCTGATTACTCAAGCCAAAAACCTTAGTCATCCTTGACTCTTTCTTTCACACTTCACATCAGATCAGCAAAAATTTTACCTTTAAAATAAAGCTGAAATCTACCTTCTCTCATCATCTCAGCAGCTAAACTCTTGGTTCGAGCCATATTACTCCTTACCTTCTTGCTTCTACAGTCTAATCCCAAAATAGTAGCCAAAATGATTCTGTTAAAAGATAATTCAATTTAAAGGATTATATACCATAACCAGGTAAGATTTATCCCTGGAATGCAAGAGTGGTTCACCATAAGAAAATCAATGCAATGTATCACTTTAATAGAACGAAAGAAAAATATCACATAATTATCTCAATTGACACAAGAAAGGCATCGGAAAAATCCAACACTCTTCCATGATAAAAAAGACTCAGAAAACTAGGAGTGAAAGGAACTTCCTCAACACGATAAAGGGCATTCATAAAAAATCCCCAGCTAATATATTCAATGGTGAAAGACTGAAGTTTTCACCCTGAGATCAAGAGCAAGACAAGAATAGTGAGCATTTCATAATGCATATGACTATTGAATCACTATGCTATACAACTGAAAGCAATTTAACTTTCATGTCAACTATCCTTCGATTTTAAAAAGAATTATTTTTAAAAAGACAGAGATATTCACTTTCACCACTGCTATTCAACACTGTATTGAAAATTCTGGCCAGAGAAATTAGACATGAAAAATAAATAAGTAAAAAGCATTCAGGGACATCTGAGTGGCTCAGTGGTCAAGCATCTGCCTTTGACTCAGGTGGTGATCTCAGGGTCATGGGATGGAGTCCCGCATAGGGCTAGATCCCAGGGTCATGGGATGGAGTCCCGCATAGGGCTCCCCACAGTGACCCACCCTGCTTCTCCCTCTGCCTGTGTCTCTGCCTCTCTCTGTGTGTCTCTCATGAATAAATAAAATCTTTGGGAAAAAAAAAAAAAAAGATCTCCTACAATTCAATTACAAAGAGATAAACAACTCCATTTAAAAATGGGCAATGGACTTGAACAGACATTTCTCCAAAGAAGATATACCAATGGCTAAGAAGCACATGAAAAGATGCTCAACATCATTAGTCACTAAGGAAATGCAAAGCAAAACCATAACAAGATATCAGTTCACATCACCACCTAGAATGGCTATTTAGAAAATATAAAATAAAAAAAGACTGGAAGAAAGAGGAGGGTCGCCTGGGTGGCTCTGTCTGGCATGTACCTTCTGCTCAGGTCATGATCCCAGGGTCCTGATATCAAGTCCCGAGTTGGGCTCCCCATTCAGCAGGGAGTCTGCTTCTCCCCGTCCCTCTGCACCCCACCCAGCTTGTGCTCTCTGACTCTGTCAAATAAATAAAATCTAAAAAAAAAAAAAAAAAAACAGAAGAAAGAAAGAAGAAAGAAAGAAAGAAAGAAAGAAGAAAGAAAAATTATTTGAAGATATGGAGAAATTTGAATTCTTGCAACATCACTGGCTGAAGGTTAAAAAAAAAAAAAAAAGTATTACCGACGTAGAGAAGCAGTTAGTTCCTCAACAAACTAAACAGAATTATCATATGATCCAGCAAGTACCCGCCTAGATACAGACCCAAAAGAACTGAAAACAGGAACTCAAGCAGATATTTGTAAGCCAATGATCATTGCAATATTATTCACAATAGGCAAAAGTGGGGGGAAAAAAATCCAAGAGTCCATCAACAGATGAATAGATAAAACATAGCCTAATCACACAATGAAATATTATTAAACCATAAAAAGAAACTGATACATGATACAACGTGGATGAACCTTGAAAGCATTATGCTAAGTGAAATAAGCCAGATGCAAAACCACAAATATTAAAAAAAAAAATAACTGAAAATAAAAATAAATTTTAGGAGCCCAAATATTATGATTCCAGAATGAGCAAATTCATAAAGAGAGATTATATTAGTGGTTACCAGGGGCTAGGCAGAGGGGGCAATGGGAAGTTATTGCTTAATTAACCAGTTAGTTATAATTTGTTTGGCAGAAAGTTTAAAAAGTTTTAAAAATGTGCAACATAGGAAGTGTAATTAATGTCACTAAATTGTATACTTGAAAACTGTGATATTGGCACATTTTGTTATATATACTTTACCACTTTAAAAAAAAAATCGTTCAGATGATGGTGTTTCCTGACAAAACTCTCCAATAGTTTCCCATTTCCCTCAGACTGAAAACCCAAATTTTCAAAATATCCTACGAGGTCCTACACTATCTGTCCCCTGCTCTCTCCTGTCTGATTTTATCTCCTACAATTCTTATACAACTACTATCTCACACCAACAGGCTTCCTCAGGGCCTTTGCCCCAGACAGCTACAGACCTAGCTCTCTCGTTTCCTTCAACTCTTTACTCAAAAATTCTCTCTTCAGTGAGGCCTGCCCTGACAAGCTGTTGTAAATTTGCAGCTCCCTTCCCGCACCCACACTTATCATTCCTCTTTTTTTTATTATTCTTCAAAGGCATTTCACCTTCTGACATACTGGGCATCTGACTTCTTGTTGGTCTCTTCTCCACAAGCAAAAAGATTTGTGTCCATTTTGTTCACTGTCGTATCCCCAGAGGGGATGTTGTATCCTCCTTAGTAAAAGGAGACGACTATTCAATGACATCAAAATCTAAACTGCCCTATTCGTCCCATCATCCTAAAATTAACATACCAAAGTATACAAAACCTGAAGTACCATGACTTAAAGCCTCCTAAATAATAAGATTTCACGACCATAGGGACTGGTATTTTCACATTCTCAAATCTACCCGGAAGGAAGGAAGGAAGGAAGGAAGGTTGGAAGGAAGGAAGGAAGGAAGGAAGGAAGGAAGGAAGGAAGGAAGGAAGGAAGGAAGGAAGGGGTTTCAAGTGAAGAAATCCAATTTAATTTGCTAAATTACAAATTATCTCCCCAGACTGTTGCGTAATTACAGAGTGGATCCATTTCTGCAGCAGTAAAGGCTGGATGCAAAGGACACAATCCTAAAGGCCCACGACAGGCAACCGGTGGCACGGGCTGAGGGAGGGGAGCTCTGGGCAGGCAGCGGCAGGTGGGGGGCCCTTCCCCGGGATGCTCCTGGTGCAAAGGGGCAGGAGGACACCCGTCCCCAGCGCACGTCCCACACGCTGCCCAGAGGCCTGCTTTGCAGGACTGAGCACCTCCACGGTCGGAGACAGCGCGAGTGATACCCCAGGCCCCGGAGCTCGCTGAACCAGGCGTGCAGAGGACACGTTACCATGAGAAGAGTCAGTTCAACCGGTGTCCTCCTTCCGCTGGATGACTTGTGAAGCGCCACAACAGAAGGCCCCGGAACCCCGGTATCCAGGCTAGAAACCCAAACCCAAAACTCCACAGACCTTATTCCCGCGCTGCGGAGCGCACGCCGCCGCGTCACGGCGCCCCGACGCACAGCTGCCCCCGGAGGCGGACGCCCCGCCCCGCCCCCCGTCCTCGTCCTCCGAGGCAGCCCAGCCCCCCAAGCCCAGCTGGCTGCGCGGCGCGCGTGCGCAGACGCTCTCACTGCCGCAGAGTACTCCGGGAGATGTAGTCTCCGCGCGGACGCGGGTGGGCCGCCAGAGTCCAGCATCCCGGCGGAACCTGGAGAAGTCTGAACACTCTCGCCACCCCCGTCCTCATTCCCATCTTCACACCTGTCCAGTCACTTCACACTCACGCTCCACCGCCGCGAGCTGGGCTTCGGTCTCGGCGCTCCCCGAGGAAGAGCGCGAGACCTTCTCTTCCCTTCACCGGGCTCTGCTGGAGGAGGCGGGGTCCACGGCCCGCCCCCTGCCGCCAACCCCCTCCCCTCCCGGCGGGTATCGGGCCGGTGCCCGGAGAGAGGCGGCGGCCCCCGCAGCGGCCGCAGGAGGGGCGGCGGCGGCGGGCGCCGCAGGCGATGCCCCTGCCCGGCTGCTCCGGCGGGGGACGGTGCGAGCGGCGGCGGCGGCGGCGGCGGGGGAGCTGGCGGGGGGCAGCGGCTGCGGCTGCGGCGGCTGCAGCAGAGGGGCCGAGAGCTGGCGGCGGCGGCGGTGGTGAAGGGCATCGGTAGCGGCGGTGATGGCAGTGTCGATGTGAGTGTTTTGCTGGCTGGGGACCCCGGGGCTGCGGAGCCCGAGGCTGGCGGCCCGGCAGCGAGCGGGAGGCCGGGGCGGCGGAGGGATGCTGTGTGCGCGGTGCGGCGCCGGGAGCCGGGAGCCGGGAGCCGCGAGCCGCGAGCCGCGAGCCGCCAGCCGCCGCCTGTCGCCGCCGACGGTCCGGCAGAGGCGGGAGCCGGGCGCTGCGGCGGCGGGCGCCGTGCCTCGCGGCCCGGTGTGGGGGTCCCGGGCGGAGGCGGAGGCGGGGGCAGCGCAGGCCGAGGGGCGTCTGCGATTGTTCTCAACACCCCTCCCCCACCCCACCCCGTGTGTCTGTTTGTCACTTGCAGCTGAAGATGGAAAGAGCCAGGCGAAGGGGAGGCGGCGGCGGCCGCGGCCGCGGCGGCAAGACTGTAGGGGGCTCTGGCCTAAGCAAGAGTAGACTCTATCCCCAGGCCCAGCACTCCCACTACCCCCACTACGCGGCTTCAGCCACCCCTAATCAGGCTGGGGGCGCAGCCGAAATCCAGGAGCTGGCCTCCAAACGAGTGGACATCCAGAAAAAGAGGTTTTACCTAGACGTAAAGCAAAGCTCCCGGGGCCGGTTCCTAAAGATAGCCGAAGTCTGGATAGGGAGAGGCCGGCAGGACAATATCAGAAAGAGTAAACTGACTCTGTCCCTGTCTGTGGCAGCGGAGCTGAAGGACTGTCTAGGGGACTTCATCGAGCATTACGCCCACCTGGGCCTGAAAGGCCACCGGCAGGAGCATGGCCACGGCAAAGATCAAGCCTCCAGGAGGAGACAGAAGCACGCGGCACCCTCCCCACCTGTCTCTGTAGGGTCCGAGGAGCACCCTCATAGTGTCCTCAAAACAGACTACATAGAAAGGGACAATAGGAAATATTATCTAGACCTAAAGGAAAATCAGCGGGGTCGCTTCCTAAGAATTAGACAAACCATGATGCGAGGGACTGGCATGATAGGTTATTTTGGTCACAGTTTGGGCCAAGAGCAGACTATTGTGCTCCCAGCACAAGGAATGATTGAGTTTCGAGATGCCTTGGTTCAGCTCATTGAAGACTATGGCGAAGGGGACATAGAAGAACGAAGAGGTGGAGATGAGGACCCACTTGAACTCCCAGAGGGGACTTCTTTCAGAGTGGACAATAAAAGGTTCTACTTTGATGTGGGCTCTAATAAATATGGAATTTTCCTGAAGGTAAGTGAGGTGAGGCCACCTTACCGTAATACTATTACTGTTCCATTCAAAGCTTGGACAAGGTTTGGGGAGAATTTTATCAAGTATGAAGAAGAGATGAGGAAAATTTGCAACAGCCATAAAGAAAAGAGAATGGATGGCAGAAGGGCCAGTGGTGAAGAACAAGAATGCCTCGACTAGAGTGAAATTGAACTCCATCAGGCAAAATTTAAAATCATAAATTGGCTAAAAGTACTGATCCATAATCATTTGAAGAAGTTTATCCTCTTTTTTTTTTTTTTTTGGCGGGGGTGGGGGGGGGGGCCTTTGTTATCAGTAATACCTCTGGTAGTTTATACTTCAAGGAGTCTGATTCTCATGTCATACATAGAACATTATAATTCTTATGGGAATTCCAACCTTCCCAGAGCTAAATAGTTTAGCTGCTTCAACTGCTCCAGACTATTGAAGTATGCAAATCAGCACAAAATGTGACATTCTGACCTTCTAAATACAATAACTAAGATTTACACTGCACTATGACATAATCCTGAGAAAATTTACATATACTTAATATGGAAGTGTGAATTTCTATTTAACAAGTTTCCCCAAAAAAGTATTCCATCCCTACTTCATTAAAAGCTGCTAAGCTTACCTGTAGGGCAGTTACCACAGAACCAGAAATTGACCTCAAGTATAGTATAAATATATTTCTCTATAAAAGTACATATAGAAATATATTAGTCATTCTTTGGATAACTGAATATCAAAAAGAACCAAGAAAGAATCAAATCTCACAGTTACTATAGTATTCTATAATTTCAAATTTTGTGGTAACCCTGCAGTTTATAGTTGCCATATCAAAGCCGTGGGAGAATTTTAATTGGTTCTTCTAAACTAGTTGTAATCCCATCTTTACCTCTATTCGCTGTACCACGTATTTTTATTGGCATTCCAGAGTCTTGGGAATTACTTTTATGTCACTGTTGAGTGGGAGGCTTCATCCTATGGCTTTGCTATGGAAATCTTGGTGTTTTAGCCTTTTGCACTAATTTGAAGGTTGTGAGAGGTTTTTTCCCAAAATATATCATGGACTCAAGGTGTTATATTTCATGCTTCTTTAGCACTATTTCAGAGGGGTTGGTGCACCAGTTAACTGATGCAAAAATACATCTGTAATAATACATTTTAGTAGCACTTTTGCAACTGCTACCCTTAAAACCATGTCAACACTTCCAATATAAACCTGGCTTTTACAGGTATTTTAATTCCAAAAAAAAAAAAAAAAAAAAAAAACTTTTTCTAAAAAGCATTTAGAATACAAATTTTCAGCCTGGGAAAAAATTATTTAAGGATTGGTTATAAGCATATTTGAAAGGAAAATTCAGGCATTTTCCAAGGTGCTCTTTATGATACTTAAAAGTTTACTTTACACTAGACTCACCCATTTACCTGTATTAAAAATTACTCTCCAGGAAGTGCCACAGCAATTTTACAATACCTAAGCAATTTTTAAATAAGTGGAGATAGTGTATATGTGTACCAACCCACCCTGTATTAACTGACTGGAATTTTATCTGTTGAGCTGCATTTTATTCTGATTGAAATTACTGTCTTTTATCTTGGCTTTATTCACCTCCCACACAATAAGTCCATATAATCATGTTTAAGAGCCAGACACTGATTTCAACCCCCAAATATAGCTCTCATTGATGAGAGCTGGCTGCATGGATTGAGATCAGAATGTAGCTCTCCTTTTATATGCTATAAGTAGTTCAAAATCATTTTAATAATTTTTTTCTTCAGAAGTTCGTCCCCAAATATATTTAAACAGGATCAGTAAGAGACCTTTGTGAATTAAGAATTTTACTGACTCACCTTATTTAAAAAACAAGCAATCAGTAACCCAGACATATATGCTGGTATTGGTTTTCAGATTGTATTTCACATTTCCTCAAGTAGTATGAAGGAATCTCATTAGTTCATTATAATTGTGGACCATCTGGATTACTACAGAACAACTGAAGGTTAGAAGATAATGTTAGTACTAGAGTTAATAGCACATGGTGGGTGTTGAGACTCTAAAAGTAGCAAGGATCTTTAAACAGTCCTAACTGTAAAATAACTATTGTAGACTTGATAAAAAGTAGTTTTTGGTATATGAAGGAGTGATGTGCACTTGAATTACTGTACTACTGATTGTTATTGCTGCCCATCATAGTGCCTATTAATAATTACCAACCTGTCAGATTTTGGCAAACTGGAGCTATGAATGTCCCAGTATTCGAGTGTTCCTATCACTATTGCTATGACTATATACTCTCTCTTAACACCTTCCCTCCTAAAATATTTATATCCATTAAGTCTAAATGATTTCTTTTTTGGTTTTTAGTCTGATAAGATTTGAGTGTTTATGTGTATGTATATATTTACATACATGAGTGTATATATACATATACATAAAACTATGTCAGACTTAAATATTTTTAATTCATTGTATATAAATATTAATTTTGCATTAATTATTTAAGTAAAGAATTAGTTAAATAGCCAAATCTTCAACATTGTATGTATACTTCACAGCTATTAGCATCTCAAAGCTATAGATTGGTAGATGCGTATATACCGGCAACTGGATATACTTTAGAATCACTAAGCCTTCTGCCAGTCCTTTTGTTTCATTTTTTTATCTGTATTCATTGAAAAATGAAATGATGTTATGATTTTTTGATACTTAAAATTCCCAATTATCCATTAGCCATAATCCAATAAGATCCAGTCAAAACTCTGGTATTAGGACATGTATTGCCATGTATCTTATAAAATAAGCTACTATTTTTATCTGTGCAATATACATTTTATTTATTGTCATTTGTAACATAAATGAAGCTGCAAGTGTACATGGTATTCTTCAAAATAATAGAATCCCTGCCTTGGAGACATTAAACTCTTAAGGCAACTGGATGTTAGAAGTCAAAAAATGAGCATTCAAGGTAGTAACCAAAATTACTATTTCACTGTATAATTCTAAAACACTGATGATGTTTGCACATAATAACCCAAGTATAATGTGGTATAGACTCAAAACTGTAATAATATAAGCTAATAGTATGAAATTTGGAAACGGGTTCCTCATAATAGTTGGCAGTGTGCTACTAGCAATTGAAAGCAGCACTAATCTGTTGCTTATATGCAAAAGATGCAATGTATTATAAAAGTATTAAAAATTCTGCCACATTTTATAATTTTCCTTGTTAAAGCCCCAAACTGCCATGTCCCTTAAACTTGAGTCAAACACAAGCTTATTTGCACTAAAGAGCATGGCCAAAAAATAAACGACAGGGTGGAAAAGCTAGTTGGAACCTCTTGAAATAATTGGTTCTAATGGAAGAATTTCACATTTGTCTATTTGAAAGCTATATGGTCCAGGCAGACAATCTGTCAGTTCACTAATTTAATAATGCACTTTACCTTTTGTATATAGAAGATGTACATTTATGCCACTTGACAGGTGGGATGTGTTTCAATCTATGTAGTTAGAATATGTAGGGTGATCTCTTGCATGCAGATGTTTGTGTTGGAACTGCTATAATAACAAGTTTCCATTAAATCAGTGTAATGGAGGAGGGTAGAAGATGCTTTTGAAACAAATCCCAATACATTTAACAAACACTTTTAAAGTAGAGTTCATATCTGTATTCTTAAGAACTAAAATCAATAAAAAAACTATGTCTAGCCCAGATTAGTATTACAGTTGAGACTATATCTAGTTGAAACTCCCCATAATACCCATAATACCCTGAAAGTTAATTTTGAGAATCTGTGCAGACAAAAAAAATTTTAGTAATTCTGTTTCATTGTTGATGTGTGTTACAATGACTAATGAAAAGACAGTACATAATACTGTGTTAGCATTAAAAATATGGTTGGCTGATACGGTGTCATTAAGAAAACACCCAGACTAAAGAAATAAAGTTTCAAATTAAGAAATCCAAAGAGCCTAAGAACCATTGCTAAAATAAACAGTACTATTTCAAAAATTGCAGAACTAAAGTTCACCAACCAAAAAGGGTATTGGGAGATTTAGTGTATCCTTTCATCCTAAAAACTTCCTGAGATGTACATTTGAAAACTAGATAATTGTTGCTTAATAATAGGTTGTATGTACTTTACTAAGAAACACTGTGTACTAACAATTCATTGAGAATATGCTATATTTACTGCATTCATTTTATATATATGGATAAGAATACATTATATATAATCATTCTATCTTAATATATTCATGTATTTATATTGTAATTTTGCAAATATTTTCAGTAAAATAAACATTTATCTGAGCTGCACAATTTGAAGAGGATGAAATTGGAATACACCCTCAGACACTCATTTTTATTAAGCAGCTACCATTGAAAGTTGATGTATGTACTATCACTCCTTTAGATTTTGTTTTATGGTTTTTTAATATTTAAGTGATTAGGACTTAATTTGAACTTTTAAGTGGTGTTCTGATAATTTTTATAAGTATGAGTTTTTTTTCCCTGCTTATTTCAAAATGTCTTTCATTGGAACTATTTATAAAATCCTATTCCAAGCTTTATGTAAGGGCTTGGCTTAGTCACCACATAGTCTGTCTATACCAAAAAACCAAACATCTTTGGCAGGATAAAATCTAAAGTAAACCACAAAGAGAAGTTAAATTTGGTTCTATGCCAACAGAATAATACAGGTTTAATATTTATCACTGCCAAATAAGGTTCTGTAAGTCCTGAAGTTTCCTTAAAGATTTCTTGAATTTCACAGTAAAATGGTGGCTGATGGCTAACAACTCAGAGGAAGCAAATAAGGATGTTAGCATACTGTTGAGACAATCCATAGTCCACAGTACTGTAGCAACGAGGTACAGGGAAAAATGTGTTTTTCCCAAGTTAAGTGTGTGCGAAATTTGAGTTTTTAGTTCACAGTTATGGTCAGAAAAAGTAAACATACCAAAATTTATGTAGGTGGATCTTGGAAAAACAATTTATGCA